AAAATAAAATAAAATAAAATAAAATAAAATAAAATAAAATAAAATAAAATCCACCATGCTGGACATAGCAAATGTCTGGAGCCATTTCGACAAAGGAATGAGTCTTCTCTGCCCAGCAGGAAGATGCCAGGAGAAAAGAGGAGCAGCCCTGCGAAGGGGAGGCTAGGAAAACGTGTCATTGCCCAGCAGAAAAACAGGATTCTTTGAACAAACAGGCTCCGGATGAGTTGGCTTTCTTGGGAAAGGCGTGATTTGTGACTCAAGTGCCCAGAAGGGGAGAGAAAACCCACAGCACCCCCTCTGCTGCCTTGTCACCTGGCTTGGCAAATTTCTCCAAAAGACCAGACGCGGCTGTGCCTCTTCTCTCTGTAACCCCCCCCCAAAGTAAGGCTTCTCTTAAAAAAAAAAGGAAAGATCTCCCAGCTTCCCGTTCCGCCGAGACCATAAAGCGACCCCCGTTCGAATCGCGCTGCCGGAAAGGAAAACGCCAGGCTCAGCGGCAAGGCAGCTGCAGGGCTGACCACGGAGTAAAAATAAAGATAGAGGCTATTTTTAAATGTAGTCTCTTCTATTGGCTCTTCCACCCCGCTTTTGGATCATCCGTTCAGCTTGGGAACAGGGATCCAGAAGGGTTTGGATCCGATTGGGAATTCTGGCTCTAAAATAAGGGTCGGGCCCACCAGAATCTGGAGAGGTCCGTGCAGATGCTCTCACCAAATGGGTGCTGCGCGGAGACAAAGGGCTTGTCCATTCATAAAAGAACAGCCGCGGGCAAGAGCAATCTTAAACAGCAGAAGTTAACCGGAGAAGCCGCCGGTTGTTCCTGCCTCCTTTTAATTCCTCCCCCAGCTCCCTGGGGCTCTGTTCGTCCTTTGAAGTTTTTCTTTTCCTTTTTTTCCCAGATTTTTCTTTGCAAGAGCATCATTCCAAACCGAAGCGTTTTCATCCCCTCAAACAGGCTCCGAGGCTCACGCCGGGCTGAGAGGCGTTCTTGGAAATAAAAATGGCGCGGGAGGCTCCAGCGTTGTGTTGCAAAATGCCTGTTTCTCACAGGCAGAGCGGGGAGAGGAACGGAAAGGAATCTGCCGGGAAACCGGGCTGGCCGTGGCGGTTAGCTGGGAAGGCTCCAGGGAACCTCCATACTCAGGGGCAATCTATCTGACGGCTGGCCTTCCTCTAGCCTGGGGGAACAGGCTGAATCCCCAAACTCATCCAGCAGCGGGTGAACCGTCGTAGCCTAAACCGGCTATTTAGGGCCACGCGATCAGCGGGAACTACAGATCCCATCACCGCGCCCAGCAAGGCTTGCAGTTCTGGAAGGATGCGCCAATTTAGCTCCCATCCGTGGGATCAGCGCCCCCC